AGCTTTGGCTGTAATACGACCAGCTCTTGTTTTAATTCTGTTCAATAATACAAAAGAAATTATTTCAAAAGTTTGCTTTATTTTTTTTCTTCAGGAAAATCAATTGCACTGCCCTCTAAAGGTCCCTTCATATCTAGTTTTCTTTTTTATTTATTTACATGTTGAATATTTTAGAGTCATATTAAATAAATATGTAAGGAAATTAACACTTTCATAGTCCTTTCTTTCAAGACATTTTGTAAGACGAAAATATATTTGTTTAAAATTTTGGGGATTCATATAATAATAATTTATAATGTTAGTCTATTATACTATATTATACTAGTACATGTACTTCACCTCTTATTGTATGTACCAAAATGGTAATGGTGTGGAGTTTCCCTATACTAGAATGAGTTGTTGTGTACCTGGATTTTGTTCAATTAATGAAGTTGTCTGATTATCTGGCTTTTATTATTACTCAGTTTGAAATATTTAAGAATTATTTACGCCATTTTTACCGTATAAACTGGATAAAGTTAACTTGCAACTTGATGGACAGAATATTGACTTTTATGAATGAAACTTTTAAATAATAGAAAAAGAAATGAAGTTGTTTTTTCAGTATTGTATGAGACATTTATCATGTTTATTAGTTATGAGTACAATTTAACAGAATTTATGTGTGAGATGATTCTGCTTGTATTATTATTTCAGTCTTTGCTGTGTAATTTTTTTATTCTAATATGCAGTCATTTGATGCCAAAACAACAATATGATGCTAATGTATGTTTTCCCTTGAATGAGTCCGAATAAGTACAGGGTTCAACTTCGTTGTCCGTCTGTCTGTCCGTCCGTTTGTCCGTCCGTCACACTTTTGTGTCCGCTCCACAACTCTACTATTAGAGGTATCCACTTGAAACTTGATAGGAAGCTATATCACATGAAAAAGTGCAGTGCAAAAGAACCATAACTCTCCCTTTCATAGTTTATGAGTTATTGCCCTTTGTAAATTTATATACTAAATTCTTGTCCGGGCTATATCAAAAAATATAATAGATATCAATTTGTAACTTTGTAGGTAGATTAATTACATATATGTGAAGCGTATTACACAAGAACCATAACTCTTTTTTTTCATAGATTAAGAGTTATTACCATTTGTAAATTTCAATAGTTAATACATGTCCGGGCCATATCTCAGATAGGTCAATACATCTCATTCGCACATACGCAGAAAAAGATGACTACTTTTGCAACATGCAGCGCTGTTGAAAATAAACAAAGCGTTACAATTTGGCCTTCATGTTAAAAGAAACATTCCATTCTGTAATATATGAGGCGAGACATAGCTACTTCCGTTTCCGAAAGGACCTGTCAAGTTTAAAGTTTGGTTTGAGATCACAATGTAAAAACATTCTTTAAATCATATAAAACTTATTAATATCTCATATTCTAGCTGTATATTTTATACAGGTAATATTCAATCATAGCATTTGTATCAATGGATTATCTTTTGATATAATATCTGTATTTTAAGCAAGATTTTTCCCCAATTCATATAGTGTTACCCATAAAATTTAAACTCTGCTTGGAGATACTTAATTTTTCAATATGCTAATAAGTTTGTTAAGTTAAACGTTTATTTTTTTTGCCTACTTTTGGATATTTTGTATCTCTGTTGTATTATAGCATGCATGTTTCTGAGACTTACAGAAATGAGAAAAAGAGATTGTGTCACTACGCAACATATAGTGAGTCAGAAGCTTTGCTGCTGTTGTTGATAATGATGGAGATTGCTAAGTCCAGCTTGTTATTTGTAGTTTATAATTGACGTGTTTCTTCCATTGAATTTGATTCTGATGTGTTCTCTCCTTTAATTTTGTTCTCTGTTTGAATCAAATAAATAAGACACATGATTTTTACAAATTTGTTGATTTTTTCTCAAATACATAAATATCTATCTACCATTACTGTTAAATGATACTAAATCCCTCTCAGGGACAAGTACAGTCGTCATGTTTTACCCAGATAGAGAGAGAAGGGGAGTTCCAATAAATTGCGCAGGCACATAACAATCTGAACCCACAATTCATTCATTAATACGAACAACTTTTACGCTATTTCTAATGCTCGAAGAAACACCTAATAGGTCCCCGTCGAGGATCGAACTTGGGAACTATCGCATCCCATGCGAGCGTCCTACCAGTGGACCAACTCGTCTCAATTTGGGGGGATAGCCTATTGTTCTAGGAAAATGTTAGTATTTTGCATTTTAACCAAAAAACCCTCTTTTCGCCGAGGAACATGAATTCATACATGAGAATACATACTGGAGAGATACCAATTAATTTTAGTACTGTTCAGCCATGTCGCTTGTGTAACAACAACTAAATAAATGTTCTATAATTATTGCCAACTTCGCAGCTTGTTTATGAGTTACATATAATGCCTCGATAACCATATACATAATAAATTTAATGAATTTACTTGTTCAATCTAAAATTGTCACAGATGCGAATAATAACCCCCGCACAACAAACTTTAATTTCATGCAGGAATAAAGCCTTTATACATAAAATGTCTAAGTTCAAGGGCACATAACTGCAATGCCTGAATTGCCAGACCATAATTTTGTGGCATGCTCATATTCACTTCATGATTATGATTGAAGCCAGTCACTTGTGTGAAATGTGAAAGAAGTTTGCTCCACAATCTTTTATGTTCAAATAATACATATGTGCATTTCTATATTCAAGGGAATCTGCAATGCCTGGATTGCCCTAACTGACTTTTGTAAAATGTACATCTTCACTTCATGATGATGTATTGTAAGTTTAAAACCAATCCCTAAAGAATTGTGAAAGAAGCTGGCGCCACAAGAATGTAGGTATTTATGCATACAGACCAACCGACCACCCCAACAACCGACTCAATAATTCCCCTTCTCAAAACTTCTTTTGCGGGAGTATTATAATGATTAATAATGTACATGTATAACAAATGAATCGATAATTCTTTATTCTTAATTTTACTGTGACATAATGATTTTATTTACATGCATTCCAAATCTTTTCACTTGCATATATTTCCATGATCAAATTTGAAAGCAGTTCAAATGCTCTATCAAGATTAGTTTGCATCTGTCATCTGTATTGTTCAATGACAGAAAGGGCCCAGTCGGAAAACATTTTTGACAACAATATTATACTGATTACGTTCATAACAGTTTTTATTTGCAAGCAATGATCAACCTCCACTTCATCAGCAACTTTGCTCTGCTCGGTACAGCAATACAATTCAGCAGTAGTGTACATCATGTTTGGTATTTCAGAAAGAGATCTTACATTCTTCATCTTTTGCACACGATGCTTATTCCAATGGTGTGCATGATGTTGAAGTTCATTACGAATTGCAGGATTGAAACAGAACTTCAAGCAATATATATGAAGAACGTTGTCTGTTTGCAAAACACCACTCATATTAATCCATGCACGTCTGTAACAGGGATTATCTCAAATATTGCCAAAACCATTCGATCCTTTGGTCGTGATTCGATGAACTATCCATTACAGCACATCTTGTAAACATATCATTGTGGTGAGAACGAAGAAGCGTTTTGACATCAGCAATATTTACATATTCTGTAGCCGGTCCATATGAACGGAACCTTCTTGAGCTCACGAATTGACTTTAAAAAGTAGGTGCAAGTCAGACATGGATTTTTGTTTGTTTCGTCTACTTTGAGCCAAATCAACCTTCTGCTCCACCATGAATACAAATCCCTAAAGGCTTTAATTTGTCGTTTCCATCTAACTCTCTGTAATTGATGCAGCTCTTTGTGGATCGTTACAGATACATTGTATTACGTCCCTTACAGTTGACTTATAAACCCGGGGGGATTTTAGTATAAATAATTTAATACCGAATCTTAGAATGTGTAGTCCGACTATTAGTAGTACATGTAACTGTAAATGGAATGAGAGACACGAGTTTAATTTGTATGTGCCAGTTTATCAAAGAATAAAAGATAAATTCGTCAATTTGCTGGTCATCCATTCCAGCCCCAGAGAGTAAGAATTAAGCGCATATAGCAATAACATTTCGCATTTGTCATTTCGCAATAATCATTAGCAAATGTCATTTCGCAAATTGCATTTTGCATTTATCATTAGCAAATGTCATTTCGTAAACTGCAATTAGCATGGCAGAATGGCGTTCCATACTTGCATTATATTTGTAATAAGTGAATATATTGCAGCATATGAATGCAAAGACACGTCAAATTCGCCCAAGTATTGATCAAAAGCAATTATTTATTGTGAAATAGTGTCGACAATGTAAGTGGCATATTTATAGCAAATTAAAGGAACATTTGTACTTTCAGGAACTTATCATTTTACATCTAGTTATATCAAGACCAAGCAAAGAATGTTATCTTAAACACCGAACATTATACGCTGTCCTTAAAAAAGATGCAATTAAACATATAGCGTATTAAAATATGTGAGTTTAATGGTTCAGAAAGGAACACATGAAGTTGCGATAACATGAAATCATAATGCATGACTGTATTCAGCAATACGTAGGTTTCCATTGTCATAAAGAAGTATGGAAGCAAGCGTTATGTAAGTCCAAATATCATCAAGCAAGATGGAATAAATGCACTAATTCTGTTCCATAACAATGCTATCACACATTCGGGCACATGTTTTGTGTCAAAATGGTGTTATCAGTGTCTTGACAGCCAAAAACTTGTAGAAAAATAGAACCTGTTCTTATTTTCTTGCAAGAAATTATCTTCTTGGATGTTACATAATTTCTCTTTAAAAACCATTCATTCAAGTAGGGTGTCTACATTATCCAATACAAGAGAATATGATACTTGCATAGGTGTAGACACAGCCTAAAACGTGTATTATAATTTGATGCGTCGGCGGGACATTTTAAAGATTCGGATATAGATATTTGGTATAACACGCGATGTTTATCACCCCTTTGTCTTGTCTTTATTTTTTTCCATTCAACTCTGAACGCTAACTGTGATAACGACTCACCTATGCCACCAATTCAGTTATATGTATTAATGTAGTGTCAAAGATCACTCGGAACTGTTCTGTTGTTTTCTTAAATTAAGCAGTTCAGTATATTTTTTTGAAATCCTTCAGCTGACAATGGACAAATTCATTCACAAATTCAGGGTGATCAAGTTACAAGATTACCCCTTCATATTTTAGAATTTGCTTATCTAAAAGTACATTATCTACATGTTTAATTATGGTAATTAAACTATACATAATTTTACTGTGAAATGTTAAAACAATTTTAGATACAGAAAGAAATTAATAATTGATACATTTTGCTATGGGAAAGATCATACCTGTAGATTGTCTCGCAGTATCTACGCTATACTACATTTTATATTGGTGGGAAGTAATTTGACAAGGAAACCAAGTGTAAATTTTGTTTAAACCTTCAAAAAATGTGTGTTTTATATAAATGAGATGTTACAACAAACGGTAAACATTCATTTTGTAAATCTATACTTTAAATAAACATAACGCTAAGTCATACTCAGGACATTTAGAACAAACACATATAGTGTGGAAATACACTTGCATTTATTAGCGCTTAATTATCGGTTTGTTCCAAGAAATATTTGGCGCAAATATCGCTAAATAGCCTCGGAAAATAAAAGAAATCGGAGGAAGTTTTAAATATTAAACGTGTTCCTCTTATCTTATTGATAATATGGATATGACGGATAAACAAAGTAAAAAGATGTTTCAAAGAAGTGCTACAACAGATGCAGTTACTATGGAGGATACACAAGAAAATACAGATCACGACGATAACGGTCAAAAAAGAATTAGAAAATCGGTATCCATGGACACTGGTCAAGCACAAATTATCAAGAAGACACTTTCTGGATCCATACATCGGGTAAGAAATATGATGACATCACCAAGTCAGTTTGTTGTATTTTTTTCTCATGTCTTTATAATATTTTATTACTGATCGTAAAAAGCTACATGTTAAAGTCGTCAAGGTTATTGGCCATTTTCAGTGAACATTGACTGCACACGTGAAATATACAATACTAAAATAAGTACACACTCAGATAGTATATATATTGTACATGTGGTTTTATGAGTGAATTTAGTTTTTAAAAATACTGTCAATATTTAGGAGAATATACTTTGATATATTTTCTTCATCATCCCAGTTTGATATTGTACTGAACCCTTGCATTGGTTACATTTCTATACTACCTAACTATTAATGATTTAAACATGTTCACAGACTGTACAAGTATTATTAATAATTAACAATGTAACATAGCAGACAGACAAAGACAAAAATCAATGCTTTTAATCATTTAATGTCAGTACTAGCACTAAACGTCAACGCGAGCGTGACTTTGATCAGGTAAATTACATATCGAACAAACGCAATCCGATTATGGAATCTTTTCCTGGATATTCCCATATTTTTATGCACTAAAAACTCTTTGATATTGTTTAATTCAATTCTTCATTCATTCATGTGAATTTAATCAATTAACAAAACAACAAGAACTCGCCATATATATTTAACAAACAAAATTTTGCAAGTACCTTTTTTCATTTCCCAGAAAAGAATCAGTAAACGCCGACCGGAACCGGAATACGGGCGAGATACCGAAACATACGAGAAAATTCGAGAACGAGTTCTGCAGGAACGGGCAGTGACGAACGCTATTGATGCTTTACATGAACGCTGGAGGATAGTTTTGAACTCGTATGTGAAATGTGTAGCAATGAATGACAAAAGAAAAGACTTGAAGTTAAGGAAACTTTCTGTGAAGAGACAGTTTGAACTAATTGTTATAATATTGATATTTTCGATTATATGCATAATTATATCTGTGATTTTTGTGTCTATAAATATGTAGTTCTAGCAATGTAAATATTTGTTAAATTGGTATTATTATTTTATTGTAATATAAAGCCATTAAAAGTATTTTATGTCCCTGGGTATTTTCATAGCAGGATGTGTGGTTAAGCATTATATACTGCTGTTTGCACCATATTAACTGAAAACGTGTTACACCCTCTGATAAATCCACCACAAACATACTGATCTTATGGGTATTTCCCCTTTATTATATGGAAATGCGGTTAAAATGTTGTCTTCCTTTACACCGATTGTTAAAAATTGAATGTCAAAATATTTATGACAGCAAGTTCCATCAGCGATTTTTATTACCGACAGCAAATTAATATATGTGGTATTTCGTGGCGATGGGCATGCGATAGAGGTGAATAAGTAATAGAAAGAGCACCGAAACACGAGGCTATCTGATTTGTACCAGGGGGCGTAGCCCACGAGTATAAATCAGATTGCCGAGTGTTTTGGTGTTCTTTCTCTTTTGTATCATAGTCAAACATGACAGCGCGTTCCCTTTTGTCATAATATGAAACCCCAGAAAAAATTAACCAATGAACGAGCATTTGAATATGATATTTCTGCCCCTTTCCCTTTCTCTGCCGTCACAATATGTAAACCCCAGCAAAAATGAACCAATCAACGGGCAGTATCTGGAGTGCGGGTAACTGATACCCGCACTCCAGTTACCGCACTGTGCATGTATATGTATACGATTTAACTCTGACACTTTTTCAACAGAAAGGTCCCCAAACTATGATACAACTTCCATTGTTGAACTGGCTTCGTAAAAGACATAGACATTTTTGTTACATGTTTATAATACTGCTATGTGTCTTACTGAAACGTGTACACTCAAAAACATTTCGAGATTTATTAGATCCAATTATAGTCACCAGATAATTATTTATTTTCTTTTTATTTTCGTAAGTACGTCCATTTTTATCATTGCTACATAGTTATATATAATTATACATGTACAAATCCCTTTTAAATAAATGAACTTGAATTTGTAATAATATGCAAGAGTAGACCTTCGGTACCCGATTTTTTTCATCATCACAGAAAACATTAGAGACCACCCTCATTTCACATAAAGCATGGCATATCCTCGTGTTTTCCGGTTAAACCCATCTAGTGTTATAAATATTTTACAAAACACATGTACATGTATATCCTATCAATTTCCTCTTTTCAGCATCTCATTTTTCTATATCTTTTAACACAATTTTGTCGTATGTCCTGTGTAAGTAATCTCACTCACTCAAGGAAGACAATCAAATAACGCATTTGTCATACAATATAGTATAAGAGGGTATTTCAAAATTTTATTTTTACAAAAAAACTCTCACCTTTTCAACAAATCAAAAAGGAAGGACTTTTTCTTTTTTTTTCTTTTCCTGCTATAATATACAAAACAATTTACAAATTGGGAAGGTGCTCGACAGAATGTTTCTCGATTTGTGGATAGTAAAACAAATTTATAAAATCTAATACTGAGTTGAGTATCTTCACAATCATAGATTAGAATAATAAACAAGAATAACTTCTCCAGTAATACAAAAAAATGTACAAATGACGTACAAAGAAAGCATGTACACCAAGCAATTTCTTTTTACACCTTTTAACTATTTCACAACCATTTTTCTGAAGGTCATATTAATACGAACTTGGGTCAATTTCTTTCTCTGCGGTAGAGAGTGATACCAGTAAATGTTTGTTGGATGTTTCATCACCAATAAACTGCCGTGCTCTAGCTCTAGCTTCACGGGATCTATTTTGCACGTTGCATTCTTTCCTCGTGCACTTGCATGCTTGAAAATAAAGTCTCTGGGCTGCCCAAGCGAAAGTGAGGCTATTGGATGGCCACTCACTAAGTCTTTCTCATCATCTCGGTGTTCACCTATATAATCATGTCCATCTTTATACCTGGAACATTGTATCACAATTAAAAGTCTACTACTGAAAAAGGATTGTATGTCATAAAGAGAATACCAGTATGTGTTATATTTCTTTTACAGTCTAATTTTCAGTTGCAGAATATTTATTACAGACCTGTCTACCTGTAAATAAATGGATTAAGGTTTGACCAGATTACTCAGAAGCAAAGGCTGTCACTTTAGGCTATAGAACAACGGGTCGAAACAAATAAAAAAAACAACAACTTATTCCTTACCAGGAGTCAAAACAATTTTTAAGTGATCCTATTCACACCAAGAGCGCTATATGCCGCCATGAGTAAAAAAGCAACAAAAAGCCTGATCCCTTACCAGCCATAAGTCAAAACAATCGAAAAAGCAAACTGATTCATTACCTATTGATAAGAACAAAGTTGAAGTCAAAACCGGTGGCATCAGAAATTATGTCTCTTATGTTTTCCAAGAAAGGTGTCCAAGGCCTTGCTGGCACAGAGGTATAAATGATAAATTCGTTCGAATTAATGAGTTACTGAGAAGTTAAATGGATTTTTTTCAATGAATCTAAGACGTGTTGTATATAATGCAGCGTGTTGTATATAATGCAGCGCTCCAGATTCTTGCTCATTGCCATGGAATTTAAAAACTGGTAAAAGGATAAACATCTCATAGTTAAAGTGCACAAATAGTGATTTACATTTGCACTTTCTTCAGGCATGTAATATCCATAGATATATAACTACATAAATGTATGAGTAGATTATGACATGTGTTTTATGAAATATGCAAAATCTCACTTGGACTGTAAATATTATAGATCTACCTATTTTCTTAAATAATCATTTTTCGTAAGATTTTTTTTCTAATTTGTTGGTCATGCAATTTTAAATTTTCATGTACTTCAGTTGTATTTATAGAGTATCCCAACCTGCCTAGACCTGTACCTAAAATACAGCAAACATTTAAATAATTATGATAGGCCTAATTTTAAATATACATGCATATTACGTTTTGTTATTTAATTTGATATATTGACCCTTTTAGTACCTGTTTCCGAGGAATGTTGATCCATTTCCCATATAATTTAATTTGTGCAAGTTTTCCATCGTTGTAAGTGAGTAATTTTTCACATTCTTCAAAAATGTCGTCTGCCTGAGATTTATTAAACAACATACAGTAGTCACAGACCAAATTTTCAGCGCGCAATTCTCTCCAGGATAGCGATTTCGCGCCATTTTTACTTATTGCACAATCAACGTCTGTTTTCGAGTTTTCTCCCTTATCCGAGATTTTTTGTTTATCCGAGCTTCTTTCAGTTTTACACTTCTTTTCTTTATTTAATTCCTCAGTCTCTACACGTCTTTTCTTCGTTTCTAGCTCGTCCATTATCCAAATTAAAGTGTTCAAATAGTTTTAAACTGCTATAATAAACATAATTTAAATAACTGCAGCGGTTCCGCTATTTTCAGTATTGCACAATACTTTGAATATAAGGGGAGTAATCGATGTATCAAATAAAACATGTAAAAAATAGTTTCCCCCCTTGTCATTAGCATAAAAGGGTAGTTAGTAATGTAAGAACTTCGTGGTCATTTAATAGTTTTATTGCTAAATATAAAGTTTTAAGAAATATTATTATAGATTGTCGTTAAGGGATTCTTTTAAAGCGTCTTGTTAAAGTGGTAAAAATAAAATGTTGTTTGTTGGTTGCTAGTTAATTTTTTTTTAAGTTAAGAAAGCAGACTCAACATACTTTTTGAACGTCATGTTATACTATATTAATAAATCATATTTAATATTTCTTATGTTTCTTTGTACGTTGAATTGATGAATAAAATGATTAAGTACTATGTACAAATGTTTTTCATATTGCTATCATGCATGGATAAATTTGTATCACATTATTTGATATTGATTATTGTAAGATAACCTTCATTGCAAACGACATAGTCACATACTATGACAACTAAACAACTTATGTATTTATCATCATCATCATCATCATCATCATCATCATCATCATCATCATCATCATCTTATTGGTAAAATGGATGAAATGACAGGATAAGCATGCTGACATAATTTTTTACACATTTTTTGACTGTAACTCCAGTTTCTACTTTTTAAAAAGTTTTATTCATCCATCAAACTTAAACAACAACAACAACATCATCATCATTATCATCATCGTCATCATCGTCGTCATCATCATCATCATCATCATCATCATCATCATCATCATCATCTTCTTCTTCTTCTTCTTCTTCTTTTTCTTCATCATCATCATTATCATCATTATCATCATCATCATCATCAGCAACATCATCATCATCATCATCATCATCATCATCATCTTCTTCTTCTTCTTCTTCATCATCATCATTATCATCATCATCATCATCTTCTATTCATCATCATCATCATCATCTCATTGGTAAAATGGATGAAATGACAGGATAAACATGCCGACATATTTACATATTTTTTGACTGTAACTCCAGTTTCTACTTTTTTTAGTTTTATTCATCCATCAAACTTAAATGTACATGCCATTAAATGATATCTTAAGTTAACCACGTGAAGGCCAGCTGTACTGCAATAGATTATGTACATGTATTTATGTTTATTAATCAATTTTAAAAACAAAAACATACAGTACGTGAATTGTTTAGTAATATATACTTGATAACGCAGCCTTTGTTTAAAAAAAAAGAAATATTTATGTGCGTTACAGCGTAAACGTTTAATTTGATATCACATTTTGTCAATATTAATCTAGTTTTAATATTCGGGAGTGTTTAAACCTAAACTTAATGGATGAGGTGTTTAATTTAATGTAGATCTGTACAATTAATGCGTTTCTTGAAATGTCACTCTAAATGTTTAATTGAATTTCAAGTTTGGTAACAATAGAAATTTTGTAACTGTAACGATGTTTTACAATAATTGTATCCAAATTTACAAGCATGTTCGCCATGTTCATATAATGTTTTAGTTGTATGTAACATCTTGTATTGAGGACTTACAAGGATGTCGCTAACGTCACATTTAGTTACACGAGAGCTGTATAGTTTCCTTCAGGAATATAGGAGAATACCATAGTGATTACTGTGGAGGAACTAATTCAGACTTTTATCGAATAGTCGAACAATTAAATCAAGAATATTTCGATTGATTCCACGGGGCATAAGGAACAGATTTATTAAAGCACTGTTCAATATTATGACAACTTGTTTTAAAAGAAAAGTAAGCGGTTTGGAAGTATAAACAAGGTATAAAGTATGAGTGAAAAGGATGTGAAACAAGTTCTACACAGAAGTAGAACATCAGATTCTATTGTTGTAGACAATGGAATTAAGCCTCCAAACACTAACCAGAAGCAGCAAGTAAGAATGAGAAAGTCGACCTCGTTAGATTCCGGAGAAAAGGACGAGGTAACAAACTCGACATCCGACCCGACTGGACCATTTCAACGACGTACATTCACTGTAGTGCGGGTAAGTGTTTTCATTTTAATTTGTAGCTAGAAAATATCTATTTCAAGGCACACTAAAATATATTTTCCCCTATGTTTTTTTTTGAAATGTTAATGTTGATGAAAACAGACTGCGTAGGAGAGTTGTGTGAATAAAAGAATATAATTTTATTTTTCAGAGAAGGACAAGTAAACGCAAAAGTAAACCGGAACCGGAATTTGGACATGATACCGAAGCGTACGAGAAAATTCGAGAACGGGTTTTACAAGAACGCGCAGTGACGAACGCTATAGACGCTTTACAGGAACGCTGGAGAATGATCATGTTGATGTATGGCGACTGTGTTGATCTGAATAATAAAAGAATGGAACGGAAACTAAGAAAACTCTGTGTACGGAGACAATTTGAAATGATCGTTATTGCAGCCATATTTTTTCTTATATGTTTACCGATAATAATTGTTTTTATTTTTGTTACTTTTTATATGTAGAGTCTAGAACGATTCTTCGAGTAGGTTACACATGGTCAAGTGATGAATTTTCACAGGAACAATTAAACTTCATATTAACATACGATGTAATTCATAATGTGAGTTATTTATTGCATTTTACAAACACAAACTATCTTGACATGACATTGTTTCTTGTTTACATTCTTCAAATTGTATAAAAGCCATTTACTGCTGAATTAAAAAACAAGTAAGACATCGTGTCTATTTTATCATTTATGACACATGTTTTTATTCCACGTTATTTAAAATGGCAATGATCCAACAAGCAAGGGCATCAAATTGTTTTAAAAGCTATCGTTGATGGCACGCATCATACATATGTCAACAAGTAAGGAAACCTGCCACAGGACATCGAATCAAGTCTTCTTAACTTTGAATTAATAGACTCTACATTTTTATAATCATCTTCATAATATGGTGCTTTAAAACTTGTGTGTATGCCTTTTTTTGTTAATCAGAAACTTCGCTTTGTTACTATAGTTACATTGATTTTGATTTTTGTTTGACCAGTTAAATGGCAGGAAACTATAAATTGAAGGGTTAATTATGATCACAAATAATGTTGGTGGTTTCATGACAATTAATTAAGCAAGTAATTTCTTTTTGCCGGAAAACGATTACGTTATTTCTTTATGAATTATTCCACAGGGGCTATTTTTCAAGATTTCTTTCTGCCAATCATAAGGCAAAATAATTGAGTGTAAAATGATAGTTTTGTCGGAATTATTTTATTGACTGAGAGAGGATTTCAAGATAGCACGAAGTAGCTATTTATAACTGTTGTCCTATTGTTTCTAAATGATTGATGTAACTGAGAAGGGAGACAAGTATTCTTTCAAAAGAAATTTTTAGAAAACGTGAAAAATGGCTTGATATTGTCAGAAATAATTGTCATAAACACAAAATGGTTAAGGGGAGAACCGTTACATTTATCTGAAATATGTTAGTAATTGAACAAGAGTTATCTACATCTCTGGTCTAACTCTACATTGAATTGAACGTTAATGCCAAAAAATATTTCCAATCCCGTAATGACAAAGCCTTAGCTGGGTCCCTTTAATACTAACAAGAAAAATATTACATACATTCGTATGTAATATAGGTACGATTGCATACTACTTTTTGTGAAGACTTTATGTTTGCTGAATTAAAGGTGTAATGTAAAATGAACAAACATGTCATGAGATATTTTATATCTTTAAACATTTTCATGGAATGTAATTAATGTATCACCATATTAAAGTTGCATGCTTTCAGATGAGAAAAATGATTTCAAGGAAATCAAAATATGAAAAGAAAATTCACGGTCAATTGACTGCTTTGAAGCATAATCATAAAATAAAATTACAGGAAATTAAAAACCTTTTTAATACACTTAAGGTAGAATTTCATTGTTAAATCATAGGCAAAGATTTGAGATACGATTATTTATTCATATTAACCTCATTATTGTTATATATTGATAAAAAAAACCCGAAAGACACAGTTTGTAAATATTTATTACAATAAAATATGAAAAAGGTATACGCGCCGAGGTTAGCTATAATTAAAATTCCCGCGCTAAGTCGCGGTGGTGAATCACTTGATACTGTAAATGGCAGCCATTTTACGATACGAATCCTCGAAAAGTTTATTCTGCCGAAAAGATATGAAAAAATACTTGCAATTCAAAGTTTGCTGGCTACATAAAGATTATCGATTTACTCTTTGCACACTTTATCTCTGTCTGAGTAAAATAATATTGACGTGTTTTCATTGCCTTAAACCATCACGTTACCAATACACATGTAGGTGTGAACTAATTTCGTGTTCATTAAAATTATTCCATTAATAGACATATAACAATCTTATTTACAAATGAATTGATAAAACAACAATCCCAGAAGCATTTAAGATAATAACAATCATTGAAAAAAAATAAATGCATATAAATTGTAAATTTGTGTATGACAACTCAACCCCCTCAACAAAATAGAATCAACCAAAACAAGCGCCTGCTTCTTCACCTAACTATGTAGTTGCATGACCATGATTAGCAATTTAGCGAACCAATCTAAGAGATAAAGCTATTGTAAAAATAATACTATGACCACAGCAGATTTCGTACAGAAAACCACTGCAATATGATTCATTCATGTGACCAGAGTATGACAATAATTTCATACGGGATAGTAGAAAAAACACGCGTGTCAAGTTCTCGCCACTCTTGCTTAACCTTTTACCCCATAAGCATATTGTGAACAATGGCCGTTATCATTGCAAAGCCTCCTGTTACAAGTTCCAACTGCTATAAAACTATGAAAAATGCTTCAATACTGATGAAACTTGGCACATATGTTGACTGGACCATAACCTCTGTAACACCATGTTCAATCTTAAATTTCCTGTTACCATGGCAACGGGGGACGTCTCAAAATTGCGAAAAATCACTATTTTGCATTGTTTTTTTTCCATCAAAACTGATTTCAAAGTGCTGCAACTTCTCAATGCAATGAGATAGAGTAAAAGGTTTTTTAGCGTTGGTTACACGTCACCTTAAGATTGACCTGAGGCCATTTTTAGCTTGTCACATGTCCAAAATTTTCTTGGCGATGATGGGGACTACCACCCCCCTCAACACCCCCCATTAATGAAAGGGGGCACATCCCCCTTCTGCCAACCCCCTGATGTATCATTTTGATGTGGGGCCGCGCCGAAAAAGTGGTCACTTTATTTTACAACTTTTCTCTAACGAAAAACAGTGTTTCGGGCCTAAATAGGGCCCTTTTTCACTGTCTGAGGCCTCAAAAGGGGGGGGGGCAAAAAGCCGTCAAAACACGTCTATATGAGGGAAAAGGTTAATTACTAACCTATTTCAGATTAATGTAAAGATTCTTCCCTTGGCCATAGTGTGTTCATGATACGAAAGTAGCTATTGGTTCTGATTCATGAAATATTTCATGACCTGAAAATAATATGATTAGAGGCAATCGGATCAGATCAGGTCATTTTATCGTTAAGCAATCCCAAATGTCAACGAATGTGTTTGACCACTACCATTAACCAGAAAATGAAATAAACAATAAATAAGACTGAGTGACAGGAAATGTTTAACATATTATTTATGACATAACTTTACGCCAATCCATCTAATTTATAATGTTTACGACGTTGTTTTTCGTTTGTTATTTCAGCTGACCATTTAGTTTTAACTAAATGGTATAAGTTATACATATCAGTAAAGGTCCACATAAGCTTCAATCACAACTAAGCGAAATATTATAAGATAAAAAAGAAGATAAAAATTAAAAAAAATCACTTATATTGCGCAATACTCAATATTGTAGGGATGGGAGTGTTCTGTTAATTTTTTATGAACCGCTCATGGTGTAAATCCCAGTGAATTTTTAAAACAATAACATAATAACATAGAATGTGGGATCCAAGTTCTGTGTGTGCTTTTTCTCTATATAGTTGGATAGGATGTCATTCAACGTAAAAATAGCAGTAACTGGAAAACTCCATAATGATTCATTAATGATTCTGTTTATATTTAACAACACTTATAATTAATAAACTTCATAAAACACTAGAAAATCTTAGAAGAGTTAGGATGTCATTAAAGTGTTTCGGTATCTATTGCGACGATTACTAGTCTACCATTATATCAAAAAATATATATGTGTGGAATTATTTTCTCATAGGTACAAAATATGCTGTCGATAGAGATTACCCACCCGAAGTAAGAATTGCTAGGAAAAAACTTTGGCCTGCGTACAAAGAGTACCGTAAAAACCGTTCGAATCGTGTGCAATTAAAATACCCAGCAGCGCTTATTGTAAATGACAGGGTCATGGTAGACGAGTTTCCGTGCTGGGACGAAATCATGAGCACAAACACTAAAACGTTAACCGGTAAGGACCAATTTATAACAACCCAGCCAACGATGTCAAGCCTTTTACATTCTAAAGACAACAACATTAATAGCCAAACATATGCCTGTCAACGACGCAGTCATACACACCCCAGTGACCTTTGAGTCACAATCAAGTCTTAATAATATATCCACAGTGCCGATTCAAAAAACTTCGCAAAATTCAAGAAGTGAAGAAACAAACCTTAAACAGGTAAAACCCACAGAAAGTAAACAAACATCACGTGGTAGGCCAAAATCTAGGACGACATCATTAGCCAGTCAGCGACGAGTTCGGTCTGTCAGTAGACTCAGTACTCGTCCAGTGAAACATACGTCATCAAATCAACCAATGGAAAACGCGCATCAGTCACAGAGGTCAAAGGGCGCTGACTAGCGGGATTCAAGCGGTGTTCATGTAAACATTTAATGTGATAATAATGTTGTGAGATTCGCTTTATTAAATGTACAGGGACTGGTTTCTAAACGTGTTAACAAATTAAAGAGTGTAGAAATTATTGAAATATTTAATAAAAATGATATTATTTGTTTTACGGAAACATGGGGGAGTTTTGAACATGATTTTTATGTAGAAGGCTTTCAACACTTTTTCTTAAATAGAGATATAAAACTAAAAGAAACGACTAGGAATTCGGGTGGTCTGCTGATATAAGTTAGAAACAAATTTGTGACACAAAATATGTTTTTGTTTGATTACTCCGATTCACATTTATGGTTAAGATTTCAATCTCAACATTTTAATTTTGGGACAGACCTTTTTCTTTGTTTATGTTATATTGTACCGACAAATTCAAGTAGAAACATGCAAGTTGAGAGCAATATATACGCTACAATTATAGACAATATTTTATACCTTCAAAACACGTATGGTGATGAAAATTGTACATTTATGCTCTTGGGAGACTTAAACTCGAGGGTTGGCCTCTTACCCGATTACGTGGTTGATGATTCTGATATTTTATTTAATTGTGATTTACTTCCAGATGATTATACAGCTGATGTATCTTTACCTCGTTTTTCACAGGATGAAAATACCAATTCAAATGGGTATTTACTGATTGACTTTTTAAAACAAACAGGGCTTAGAATAGCTAATGGGAGGGTAGGGAATCCTGAACAGTCGGGGTCTTATACTTTTGTAGGATATAATGGGTCAAGTGTTGTAGACTATTGTATTGTTGATATTCAAATGTTAACTGAATTTAAATCATTTATAATACATGAACCTAATTTAATATCTGACCATTGTTTGATTGAGTTTACCTTGAAGGGTAGTATGT